GGTTTAATTTAAATTGTAAAAATTTATTATCTAAATTTATATTCTTAAAAAGAAAGTTTCAAGTCTTCCGAAATTATGTACGATGTTAAAAAATTAATTCTTCAATAGTTTGCTGATTTCGTAGATTTTTATCATTTTTAAGTTTCTTTATTAACAGTTGATACAATCGTCACACATTTCTATGCTGTAGTTACATTATTTTCTATTTAGAGTCAAGAATTTATAAAGTAATCTTAAGTCTTCAGAAATGATGTGTGATGTTAAAAGAAGAATTGCTATCAAATACCTAATGCAATTTTTGTTGAAATTGGCGCCAACACCAAAGTATCCCCTCCAACAATGGGATATATCAGGCGTCGATATGTCTACGCTTTTGGGACTTCCCCCGCGTAAATAGTCCTTTGGCTGAGGGTAGAGTCTTGTCTAGCGTGCGGTGTTAAGAGTAGGTTCTGTGAATAGTTCAATAATATTATTGTAAATCAAATACATACAGGGTGTTCCATTTTTATCCAAACGGTGTCAGCATATTCTACGATTAAAAATAAGAAAAAAATGTTATATAAACACAGGGTCATAAATGCTCTATTACAAAAGTTACAACAAAGATACTAAAATTATAAATAACTGGTTTCTCGTTTATAGTCAGTCAACGATGTCAATTTTGTATTTACAAGAATGGATGAATCGATCGAAAGTGTAAACCTCGTGCAACTATACTTTCATTACCCGACAATTTTGCAAGAATTTTCGACTGGCAAAATTTTAATAGAGATACAATGTTCCTTAACCCTTTAAACTCCAAATTTTCTTTCAATAACTGCCTATTATTTTAAGAATTTTATTTGAAATACACTTCAAAAGACATTTGGTTGATAGGAGCCAATTTAAACAACCTTTTTTTTACTAATTGTATTGAAAATAGCATTGAGGGTCATATATATGTGTACCTGTTGCTCATCCAGGTAAACAAAAACTTGCAAAATATAGTACATATTTAAACTGGTAATTTAAAAATTGCTTTATTCATACCTGTGACTAAAACTGATGTTGAGTCACACTCGACAAACGAGTCCAAAGGGTTAACGGTAGTTTTTAGGATAGAAATTCATCGTAATAATAATTAGTAAAAAAGTAGTCGCTTGCATGGATCGAAGCAATCGGTGTTCTCTCATTAATTCATGACGTGGAGGTCGCAGCGTCTATTTAACTGATTCGTCACCAATAAGAGGCGACAGGCAATTAAAAAGATCCTTTCCGGTCGTTTAAAGGCAGTCTGTGTTTCCTTGACGCGTTTATTCTGAACGTGAAATTACTTTTAATGATTGTTCGCCTTCACCCTGTTTACACCGGAGAGGAAGTTTCTCTCTCCGGGACAATGCTCCAATGACAGCCTTCGCGTATTTCGTCACAGATGTTAATCACGATGTGTACACATAAGTCTGAAGGATAGAACGGTAGTGGTGATGAAAAATTTCTATAGTAGATACTGAATTCTTGAGCAAACATAGCAGGTGCAAAACCGCTTTTATTTCTGATCGAACGGATTCGTTTCTTCAAGTACGAACGACGATCGCGTTTGAATATTTTAGTTTTAGCATACTAATGTTGTCATTTACACGCTTACAGATTGACATTGAGAGAACGATATATGAATAATTTAGATGTAAATATTTTTATAACGCATGTATTTTAAATTCGATCGTTTATAAATTCACATGTACACGCTTGTAGATTAACAATGAGAGCTAATAATTAGGCCAAAATTTCATATGTGTATAAAAATATATTACATTTTGAAAAATCTTAAACAAATTTACAATTTAACTTAAATATTCGTTTATGATCAAATTTCGATTCATCCTATTACTGAAATACTGTGTGTACTAAAGTACTGAAATACTATATTTAATGCTCTCCGAGATTTACGAGTTTTGTTCATTTTGTTAATTGACTTTTTTATTATTTAAGTTTGCATTAGTAAATTATTCAACTAATGATATATTCAATGATATTTTCGTTATAATCTTTCATTGCTATTATTTGCAACTATAAACTCCATTTAAACACATACACACGTAAAATTGTTTTCCAAATCATAAAAGAATAGAAAAAGTTGAAATGGAGAAATATAATTATAAATTCGAATTTTTCATTATTATTTGTATCAAGTTGAAAATCGGTTTATACAATACATGTATATACATATGGGGAATATCTTTATCAATTATACAGGGTATACTAAAAAATTCAAATACCCACAGCTTTTTTTTTAAATGGAACTGAATTCTTTTTACTTAGGTCGCTTCTTCTAAAGTATTAGGGTACTATGTTATAAAAATCAATACTTGGTCAGATATTTCTAATTTTTGATAAGACGTACCTATGTTTTACACAGGGTGTTCGAATGTTCCACTACGTCTTATGAAAAGTTTGAAATATCTCGAGACGTATTCACATTTCAAATATCTTACCCGGATACTTTTTTTACGCAGAATGTTCCAAAGAATCGATTTGCGTAAAGAAGGAAATACAGTTTCATTAAAAGAAAAAAAAGATGCATCTGCATTTTTTAGTTGCATCGTTGCACTTATGAAAAGAGTGAAGCCATAAGAAAGTAGACTTTTCTATACCATTTGACTTTTTCCTCTACAACTTTCTGCTATCTCTAACCAAACTCGAGATATAACTTGTTCCAATTACGTGACTCACCCGGTATAATAGTACGTACTTTAATTTCAAATATTCTGAATAATATACTTACCAATGTTCTTCTAGAGAATAGTCAATAAGCATATAATCACATCTGTATTTTATCTAGGTTCTTTTATTTCAAAAAAATGATATCAGTCTGTTTCAATGTATTCCTCGTATTATAGTACATTATTGCTATAAATTGTATAAATGATAAGATAGAAAATATTGAAAGTTGTTAAATTTCAATCGTATTGAAATATGACGCAAATTGTGAATTTAACGTATATAATTAAAAATGAATTAAAATAAGTAAACTTTGTAATTTCGATGTACAGGGTGAGTCACATAACTTGTCTATTTCGAATAATTTTTAAAGTATATGTTTTACAAAAAAGTGTTTTATACATAAATTACACGGTATCCAAGGGAACATATGAAGCTGAAACGGTTTCTTTAAATAACCTATTTGTTTACGAGATATCGGGGTTACTTTAAATTTTTTAAATGGAATGAGTATCTTTTTGTATCAAAATTTAAAATGTTCCCTTCGATATTGTGCAATTTCTATGTAAAGCCCTTTTTTGTAGATCATATACTTTAGAAGTTATGTGACTCAGCCTGTACATAATTTCAACATTGGAATTTTTCATAATTGTCAATAGCTCTGGATGGAAACAAAAGCTAATGTACAGTAAATAAGCATACTTTAATATAAAATTAAAAGAAGGTTCATAAATTATTGTGTAATATACATATTTCAAATATTCTTTGGTATCTCTATTTAATAATTATTATTTTACATTTTTGTCGATTTTAATTGCTAATTTCACATCGTCCGTTTCATACCAAAGCCACGAACGTGCAAAGTTTCACTTTTTGGCTAATATAACCAAAGGATGAAACGATAAAAAATTATTTCATAGTTAAATTTAAGTCTTGAGCAAAGATTAATATTTGCAAGAAAATTTCGAATATTTTCATCTCCAGTATTATTCTGCATTTACCCGTGAATTTCCATAATGAATGTATCGTACATTCGTGGTATCGGCACAAGGAGATATCATCTCTACCTTGAGAGACGCGTTGAATTTCTATCGAAACTAATATTTTCACTTTCTTCTCGTCGTTTCAGGTTCACACATGGTATGGCCCAGTCCCACGAGGTTTTAGCAATGATGGACGCGCACACAACAACGTTCGGCCCTAAAAGAGGCTGCTCGATCTCTCCTTGCGGCGCTTTCATCTTAGGCGTTGCCTTCCTGATATCTTTGGTGGTGACCGGACTTTTAGTCTATCATCTGGCACCGTGTCTGGAGGAAAAGCTAGTTGAACCGTGCAATGAGCTCAGCAATTCGGTATTCGAGTCACGCGGGATATTCTCTACGGACTCGTCCAACAAAAAGAAGGTGGACGTCCGATTGCCGAGGTCCGTAATACCGGACTCTTACGAGCTTAGATTGATACCGTTCATACAAGAGGGAAACTTCACCTTTCACGGCGAGGTATGAAATCTCTCTAATCTCTCTCACCGTGTCCTTGAACGAGTACGAAACTTGTTGGTCGCTTGAATCCGCCTGTGTAACAAATGCGTGTGTCGGTGATTACGAAAGTGGTACAAGTCAAAAAATAAAAAATTGGGTTTTTTTTTTATAAGAGAATTTTTGTAAAATAGTAAAATAATGAGCAGCGACAGGAAGGTGTTATTTTCATAACGAGCCACGACAGTTTTACGTCCATTTTCGATAGCGGTGCAAGTCATATGTTCTCTGCAAACAATTTGCGAGAAAGAAAAGTCATAATTGTATATTTTTGTATGACAAAGGGAAAATGTAAAGACATAATGGATTTACATTTCACCAATTCATCAGGAATATTTGAACACTCTTAGAATATCGGAAACAGAAAATTTTGTTGTTGAAGCGGAATATTAATAGATTAATTAAGAAAAATTACAATTATAATGTAAATAAATATCTTTGTTTTTAATTTGTTTTATTCATAAAATTCGTTATTTTTTGTTATGGAAAGTCCTAATTAGGGTGTATTATTTTAAAAACGGTGTAAGTCATTCAAGGGTTTAAAAAATACATTTTGGTACAAGTTACTCGTAAAATTTTACAATGATAGATAAATTTCACATTAGAAGAGGATGTACTTTGTAGAATATTTTGTTCTGTAATGGAAAAATATTTTTTAGTACGCCCAAACGTAAAAGTCTGAATACCTCGAAACGAAAAATAAGACCATTTTCATAATCACCGGCACACACATATCTTTCCACATTTTTTCCCTTCATTTTGTTCTTTGTGTTTATTTTATAAATGAAAAATATGGAAAGAAATAATTTGTTGCTTTTTAGACGAAATGAAACTGTTTGTTAAATGTTATAGAAATACCAAAAACACACAGTTTTAGTGGAAAGAAGTGTTAGAGGGAAATTGTATATAAATCGATCAGATCTTCTGAAGGAAAATTCAGTACTTTTTTATTAAACGAAAAAGAACGGATATATTTTGTAATTGTAACGAAATAAAACTATATTTTAATTTAATTATTATATTTAACAAATTGGAAAAAATATATCAAGCTCTCTACATTTTTATTATTAAATACAACGATTGCTTCATACTTAAACAATGATTACACATATTTATTTGAAGAAAAAATCGCCTTCGATAATTCTTCGTAAAACTGACCACTTTTTGAATTAATATTGTACTTTACAATTAACATGTTTTCCAAAGTATCTAATCCTAATTGACTTTTCTCATTATCCAAATTTTACTTATTAT